TTATGCATGGGGGGAGCTGGACTGGGATAACCAAATGGGGAGGGGAACAGAAGATTGGGACAAGGGAGAGACACCTAAAATTAAGGGCCATCTGAGGGGTAGTATAGAAACTTAATACAGTAGAGGCTTCTTAAAATATATACATATATGAAGACAATTTAATTAAAGTTGCCAAATAATGGGGAGACAGAGCCCTAGCTGGACATCTCTTGTCACCAAATGAAGCATCCTGTACCAAGATTGAATGGCATTTAACTGAGTTTTTGTCCAAAGGGGTCTCATGCTAATCCTCAAACAACTCAGGCTATTGCCAAGACAGCTCTCCACAAACTAATGGCAAGGCACATTGCTGAAAACAACACATACACAATTCATTGAATACAGACAAGTTATGTTGATGCCTACATAGAGCCTTCATCCCATATTCTAGCATGTTTGGTACATAAAGGTATTCTGTATACTACCAAAGGATAAACATAAATACCAACTCATCTATAAAACCTTGGATTGACATGACATTTGTGCCTTGCCTGTAAGATATACTGGTGCAAAGTTGGCACAAAGCTTGTTATATGGGTAGCACAAAGCTACCCATATCTGATTTGACAGAAGGTCCACTCCAGAAGATGACAACGATTGTGTGACAAAGAAGGCCCATAGACCTAGGGTAAAACCAAATACTATTGTTCTTAAAAAAGTAAAATGTAACAATAAAATGACTCCTGATGGAATTCTGTTATACTCATAAATTAGTGCCATGCTTAGCCATCATCAGAGCAGTTTCCTCCTGCAGCAGATGGGAACAAACACAGAGACCCAAAACCAGACAATAAGCAGGGAGTGAGAGACTTTGAAACACTAAGCCCTAGATAGGATGTCTCCATCAAATCTCTCCCCTCAGGGCTCAGTGAACCACAAAGAAGAGTAGGCAGAAACAGCCAGAAAGGGTAGAAGATACCAAGAAAATGAGATCCTCTAAATCAACATCAACATATGCACTCAGAAAGACTGAGGCAGCTTGCACAGGCCCTTCAGGGGTCTATACCATGTCTTCTGTTACATGGTATATATTACAGCTTCCAGTTGAGTGTTGGAATTTGAATAGATGTATAGATTTTTTTTAAAAAAAACTATTTCCAGTTGGTATTTGAACAAGTGGATCTGTTTCTTGTGCCTTCACTTTGGCTCTGTTTGTTTGTTTTATCCAATTCCAATGTGTTATTTTTATTTATCTTATATATTTTATATCTTATTATATTTCATTGTATTTTATTATTATCCCTGAGAAGCCTACTTTTTCTAATGAGAGACAGAAAGGGAGGGGATCCAGATGGGATGGGGGGACTAGGAGTAGAAAGGTGTGTAAATTATAATCAGGATATATCATATAAGGAAAAAGTCTATTTTCAATAAAAGGAAAACAATGGTGGTTAGTGAGACACAATCTCTTGATGTTTTGGTTGTGAGCTCTGCTTTTAGATGGCCTAACCATCTCTCTAGCACTTGGAGACAACATCACACCAAAATCCCTGATTCTCTGGCTTTTACAATCTTTCTGCCCCCTCTTCTGCAATTTTCCCTGCTTTACATGTTGGAATGTTTTCTTGATGTATTCATTGGGATAGGGCTCAATAACTCTGTGTGTTGATTTGCTGTGGTTTTCTTTTTTTTCCTCCATTTTTAAATTTAAATTAGAAATGAGATTGTTTTATATGTCAATTCCAGTTCCCTCCCCCCCCTCCCCCCACTAAGTCCCTATCCCATCCCCTTTTTGCTCCCCAGAGAGGGTGAGGCCTTGCACGGGGATCTTCAGAGTCTGTCATATCCTTTGGAGCAGGGCCTAGGCCCTCCCCTGTGTGTCTAGGATGAGAGAGTATCCTTCTATGTGAAATGGGTTCTCAAAGTCCATTCCTATGCTAGGGATAAGTACCGATCTACTACCAGAGGCCCCATAGATTTCTAAGGCCTCCTCACTGACACCAGTGTTCAGGGGGCCTGCATCAGTCATATGCTGGATTCCCAGGTATCAGTCTGGGGTCCATGAGATCCTCTTTGTTCAGGTCAGCTGTTTCTGTGGATTTCACCAGTCTGGTCTTGACCCTTTTGCTCATCACTCTTCCCTCTCTGCAACTGGATTCCAGGAGTTCAGTTCAGTGTTTAGCTGTGGGTGTCTGCTTCTGCTTCCATCAGCTAATGGATGAAGGCTCTAGGATGGCATATAAGGTAGTCATCAATCTTGTTATCGGGGAAGGGCATTTAAGGTAGCCCCTCCACTATTGCTTAGATTCTTAGTTGGGGTTATCCTTGTAGATTTACAGACATTTCCCTAGTGCCAGATTTCTCTTTAAACCTATAATGGTTCCCTCTATTGTGGCATCTCTTATCTTGCTCTCCTGTATTCTTCCCCCTTCTCAACCTTCCTGCTTGCTCATGTCCTCCTCTCCCCATCCTCTTCTCCCCTTCTCATTCTCCTAGCTCTCTCTCCCCTCCCCCAATGCTCCCAATTTGTCCCCATTCCCCTTCTCCGGTGGACCATGTATGTCTCTCTCAGGGTCTTCCTACTTTGCTAGCTTCTCTAGAGGTGTGGATTGTAGGCTGGTAATCCTTTGCTCTATGTCTGAAATCCATATATGGGTGAGTACATACCATGTTTGTCTTTTTGTGACTGGGTTACCTCACTCAGGATGGTTTCTTCTAGTTCCACCCATTTGTCCCTGAAGCAGAGTGAAGACTGCACTTATCTGTGGGTGTAAGGACAAATGTTTAGAGTGTTAGGGATTTTGCTGGTTTAGTAAATGAGTGCTTATAGATTTTCCTCCAACAACTGTGTTTCCACAAGACCATCTAAATGTGAGCTGAGCAAGGATGACAACAAAAGCCCATGAAGCCTCAACTCTACACAAAGAACAACAGGCAACTGAGGAAAGCTGGGAGTGGGAGAGGTGGTCCTCCTGCATCACTTGATTGTCTAGGGCAAAACAGTCAGCCCAGAAAACATATATACAAGTAACTTTACTTGGACTCAGTAAGCTATATAAGTAGTATATATGTATATGAAATAACATATGCATGTAGTAACAATTAATAAAAAACATAGGCATGAAATTTGAAAAAGTAGGTGGTATATATGGGAGGACTTGGAAGAAAGAATTGAAAAGGAGAAATACTGTAATTATAGTACAATCTTAAAAACAAACATAAAACAATAACAACAAAGTGGCAGTTAAGTCCTTTCAACCCTACACAAAGAACTATAGACAACTAAGGAATACTGAGAATGGGAAAGATTGTCCTTCTCAAGGAAGAGCACAACAGTACCATGCCAAATGATCAGCCCCGAAAATATGCATTTGAGTAACATTATGCAGACTAAGCAGTTTATGTTTAGGAATATACATACATACATACATACATACATACATACAAATACATGCATGTGACAATGAAAAAAGAGGCCATAAATTTTAAAGAGAGCAGAGAGGGGTATGTGGGGAGAAAGGGAAGGGAGAAATGATGTAATTATGATCTCAAAAAGGGCATTTTTTTTTGCAAAGGCCTGATTATTTCAGTTCACCCGTAAACATGCTCACAGGGAAGGGGAAAAATCTCATGAGGTTCCACTCTAGATGAAGAACTATGGGCAACGAATGACTGCAGAGAGAGAGGGGGGGAATTAGTAGTCTTCCTCCGGGCATGAGCCCCCTAATTGATTATTCAATACCAAGTGGTCAGCCCTGAAAACATATACACACAAGTAATACTAAATGGACTCAGCAGCTTTATATGTATGTATGTATGTAGGTATGTATGTACATATTTATTATATATTATATATGTATATAACAAATAAAGGAAAAAGAGGCCACGAATTTAAATTGAGAAAGATTAGAATGAGGGTATAGGGAGGAAAGGGAAGGGGAAATGATATAGTTTTCCCTAAGTTTTAAAAACCTATAAAGTCCATATTTGTGTGTGTGCACCTGTGTGTGCAAGAAGTAAATTTTGTTTAACACTTCTGGGAGAACAGAGTGCATCTCAACAGTGTTTGCTGTTAAAGCGGAATGCATGCAACCTAGCTTCTTAAAATTGTGCCCTAAATTCAGAGCTCTATTTGCTTATGATATTTTAGATTAGTATATGGAATTTAAATCTGCAACAATTTTCTATGCACCTTTCCAAGTATGTGAAAGATTGCCTTATTTACTGTTACCTTGGAAACAGCAATGCCCAAATGCTCTGCTTAGTCTCTTTGGTACAATTAAAAATCATTTTATGGAGCAAATGTAATTTAAAATATTGTCCTCAAGCATGGATTTTAATTAACCTTAATTATATGAAATACATAATGATGGTTAGTGTTAACATTATTTGGAAATCTTAATATAGTTTGCTAACACAAAGTATGCCAACGTCTTTAAAATTTTGTCTTAATAAATGCACGCATCACTATCTTCTTTATCCAGTTAGGTGGAGATGTTTTGATTATTGCTTAACTCTGTCAGTTCTGTGATGAGTGTGCGTGTTATTGTGTATTTGCAAGTGTTTACATGTGCCATGATATTTGTGTGGAGGTCAGAGGACAGCATTGGGTGTCAGTCCTCACTTTCTGCCAATTTGGAACAAGATCTATTTGTTGTTCATTGCTGTTTACATCAGCTTGGTTGGCCCAGGGGCTTTTGGGGGATTTTCTTGTATCTACCTCCCATATTGCCTCACGAGCACTGGTATAACAGTCAGCTATTACCATACTTGCCTTATGTAGGTCCTAGGAATTTGAACTCAGGTCCTCATGTTTGTACAACAATCACTTTTACCCATGAGTCATCACATCAATCTTCTGATTAATAATTTTATGAAGTTAAAAATTACATTGTCTACTTTGCTTGAAACTTTTCTTAATAATTAATAACCTTGGAAAATCACTTATGCATGATTGCTCCGTCAGTAACTTCCCACAGGGACATGAATTGATATACATGCTTTCTTTTTTCATTTTCTAGGACTCCACTATTGTTTCTCCAATTATTTTGAGGACGGATCCTCAGGGATTTTTCTTTTACTGGACAGATCAAAATAAGGTAAGAGATAAGATGCCTTCCTTACATTATCCTGTTGGTTACATATAAAGTATTTGTTTTCCTTATATATAAGTCTACCCATTTAACAGATGACCTTTTTCAGTGTACTTATTGATTCTACTTCCAGAAACTCAGGCTAAAGGCCTTAGGATCTTGTGTGAAATGTTGGATTTACTAGATCCTAGAATAACTGTTGTTTTCTGTTTAAGACAAGACCTCAGGCTTCTGGATTGCATTTGGTAAACATGATCCTAGGCTTTTATTGACTTGAATAATGTAGAATGAAGAAAGCTGTTGAGAAAATTCCTTTTGACCTTAATGACCAAAGGTTCAACAATCAGTCCTTTTTTTTTCTCTCTTCCCTCTGTGCTATATTGAACAGTTTTTCCAGTAGTAGCCTGATTTGGTCTTGATAATGTGTTCATGTTTGTGATGGCTAATTGTGGTTGTCAACTTGACACATCTCAGGAGAGGGAAGCTCAGTTGAGGAATTGCCTCCTTCATTGTCCCGTGGACATGTCTGTTGGGTGTTCATTACTTACAATTGATGTAGTAGAGTCAGGCCCATTACAGGAAATACCATCTCTAGACAGGTGGGCATACCCATGTAAGAATGGTAGGCTAACAGGAGCCTAGAATCAAGCCAGTAAACAATCTTCCTCTGTGAACTCTGCTTCAGTTCCTGATTCCAGGTTCCTTCCTTGAGTTGCTACCCTGGTTTTCCTTGGTTATATACTCTAATCCATAAGTCAAAGAAACTGTCTCCCCAAGTTGTTTTTGACCATTATGTTTATCACAGCAACAGGGAACAAACTAGAACAGTGTTAAAATTAAAGCTAAGATTGCTTTAAACTTTTTATTGAGTTTTCAAGAATCTTCCCACATTAGCTTTCTGCCCATAATACTAAGAATTCAGTAGTTCAATTTTGATAAATCCAGTTGACAATTTCATACTGAATTATTAAAAACTGCCTTCAGACAATAGATTTGTTTGAGGTTTAATGGGCAGTTAGACAAGAATATTCATGGGAAGTGGCTATTATTTCAAGAGTTACTGTTACCTAAGAGGCCCAGTAGACAGATTATTGTGTCCTCTAAGTTTTGACATCTGAAGAGGTATTTTGTTGTTTTTGAGAATACATTTAGTGAATACATTTAGAATCCAATATTAGAATATCTAGTAGCTCCTCAATTACTGTATGGTGGGGTTCAAATATTAGCTTGTGAAACACCATGTTATATCCCAGGTATCCAAAGTTCTTGGATAGTTGGTCTTAGACTGTGCCTTGGGAAGCCTTTTACACTTGTGAGCACAGGTTGTAACTGACCTGGGCATCTTTATCATGAGAATGTGGATTTTCTCAGGTCCAGCCCTGAACTGGGCAGCTCCTAATATACATATTTTTTATTTTTTTGAGACAGGGTTTCTCTGTGTAGCTTTGTAAACCAGGCTGGCCTCAAACATGAACTCACAAAGATTCGCCTGCCTGCATCTGCCTTGGGAGTGCTGGGATTAAAGGTGTATGCCACCATCGTACAGCTATATCCCAATATCTTAAGAAGCAAATTCTACTCTAATGGTCCCAGAGTTACATCTTACTACTATCTCTGTGTTCTGAACGCTTCTATGACCATAGATGTGGGAGAAAATAATAGAACTTAGGTTAGTGTCAAATATTATCTGTGGGTAAGATTTCATTCTTAATGCTCATATTTGTTACTGGGTGTGTTAATCATATTGGCTTAGACATTCCGTTTGGTTTCCTGCTGTTATGTATAAAACAATGGCTTAAAAGAGTTTTTTTTTTTTCACTCCTAAAGACTATTTTTAGGACAGTCATGGCTATATTTGTGAAAGATTTATTTATAATGCCTAGAGCATTTCTAAAGGTTGGGTGCTTGTACAAGGGACCAGACTGTCAGTTTGATTTTTTCAACTTGTAAATCAAATTTCCATAAAAGCAACAGAAGATATTTTGGGGTTTTTAAATAATTCATGGCAACTCAGTTAAGCTCCACTAAAAGACCAATCATAAACATTTCTTTGCTTGAGGAAGAGAAGAGGGGTAGGGTGAAAGGCTCTTTGATGCATCTCTGTTGTTCTAGGAGTACAGTATTTTGACCCAGGAATATTTTTCATGTAGGAAATATCTTTAAGTGTTTTATACCAGCTTTTCCCTCTTGGTCACAATGTTGTTTATAACCAATGGAAACCAAAAATGAAGGAAGGGGGAAGGATTTCTTCTGTCTCTTTATTGCTTTTCCTCTTACGGATATTAATCTTAGTTAAGACATGGTAAATTTTACTTCTTACTTCTGAGATCTTTAAGTCATTCCTCAGTCATTTATCAGTTTAGAAGTTTATTTTTTGGTCAGTGATCTTAGATCTTAGAATCTAAAATATGAGAGGATTTAAGAAAATAATAATAAAAAAAACTTACCACATTTTCAAGTTTGTCATTTTCTTTCTGGCTTTAAGCCCAGTCTTGGAACCAGATCAAGTGATGTATCCACGTTTTGGTCTTAGAGGAGTGTAAACAATGCATTAGAGTCTATGCAGGCTGGACGAACTGTGCACACAAACAGAGGGCAGCATGCCAGGCTTTTAGTTGAGGTTGTGTATAAGATCCTTTGAAGGATCCAGGCTGAGTGGTGCAATCACGATGCTCCTTAGAGGACTACTTGTTTAAAGTATCTTTTTTCCCCTCTTTTGGCAGTTAGTGTTATAGATATCACAGATAAAACAATATAATACTTTTAAGGTTACCTCTTGAGTTTACACATTTGTTTTCTTCCTGTGATTGGGAAGCCTACATTGGTATTTAATAGAAGATGCTCATCTTTCTGAGTCATCCCCCAACATGCTCTGCCTTTGCTCCATGAAGCTTGTGTGGAAGCAACTTGATTAGCAATCACAGGAAGCCTCCTGAGCTCACAGGCAAGAACAGTGGCTTAAGAACATCTCTAGAGCCTTGTTATAAGACCTCACCTTGTATATCTCTGGAAGGAAGCCCCACATTCATGATGTCTAGTATATGCCCATTTCTTATTATGACTGCACAGCATCTTGTGACAGAGCCATTGTTTTCAAGCAGCTGGCTTCCTCCTGTAGACAGTGCCATGCTGCCTTACCCAACTGCTTCTTTGACTTGTCATCATAGAAATGATAGGTGACAAAGAAGACAGACAGCACAAATGATAGGTTTCAGAATTAAAAACCAGAGCTAGCAGTCATTTTTAGAGAACTGAAATGTGTTTAGAGAAACATTGACAGGATATTTGGGTTAGTGCAAGCAGATGAATGTGAATATGACTTTTTGAGATAAATGTTCATATGTTGCTCCATTGCTGGACTTACTTTGACAGTTTTTCCTCTTACTGTTGGTTTTGTAGTTTATTGAATATAATTAGCAAAAATGAGTCGCTGAATATGATTATTTTATTTTAAGCACAGTGGTTTTTCTGGTGTAAGTGTAGAGTATGTAAGAAGGATGAATTTATTTATAAGTCATGGGTGGGAAGAAGTTCTGCCCACCCCAAGTACCAGAGAGGTTGCCTGAACTAGACTTTGTCACCTAGAGGCTAGCCATCATAACAGGGAATGCTAGCCACAAAGTCCATATCACTATGAGAATCTGAGAAAAGGGTCAACATAGAAGCACCCACATACTCCTATCTAGACTCTGACACAGGAGAACGTTGTCTTGCAATTTGATTCCCTGATTCTGTGCCGAGTTTGATGTAAAAATAAAACCAGTTTAGTTCAGATCTGAGAAGCTCAAGAAAGTTCAGTAAATCTTCCATCTTACCCTAAAAGAGGAGCTTTGGGGAAAGGGAGGCAATTACATAAGATTTAAAAAGGAATGAGAGGGAAAAAATCCTACTGTATTTTGATACAGATTTTTTAATGCAGATAATAAATAATTTCCTCTTAGTAAGAGAGTAAAGCACTATAAATATCTTCAAAATTATCTGATAATCCCAACACTAGTGTTTTATTTTTTTCCCCTGAGTCAGGAATGAGTATCATCTTCCTGGTTAATTCTGGTTTTCTTTCATGAATTTGAGCATGTGTAACTGTGGAAATAGTGTATTTTGTTTTGTTCAAATCCATTTTATCCTGTTATATTATTTTTGCTGTTTCAAAACTTGCTTTTGACTTCACAGAATGTCTTAGAGATGTTCATGTATGAATCTACTTCCTTATTTTCAGTTGCCCTATTGTGTTCTAATGTTGGAGTGCAAACACATTTAATGGTAAGAAAGTTCCCATTGATGGATATTGGTGTTCATTTCTAATGTGGGCAACAGAAAACCTCCTATAACACAGAGTAGTGGCCAGCTTGATGCACTTATTTGTGAGTATGTGAGTTATGGGTTTCCCAAGGGAAAAACTTAAAAGTATCATTGCTGCTTTGAAGTTATACATATTTTAAATTTTAGTCTTTAGCATTGTTTACACCTACATAATCTTATGTGGGAGAAACTATTTTCTCATTCCCCAAATCAACACCGTTAGGAAACATCAACTTTTGCCTGACTGATGCAACTGTTGTATCTATGTTTTAATCTGCCCTAACTGGAATTTCCAAGCATATTTTCAGTCTTTTCTGGCCATTTCTGTTCTGGGTTATTTGCTACATCTTCTGCTTTTGTGTTGATACTTCTTGTGTTCTAGCTGTTGTGAATTTTGCAAATACAATCTTCTGCCTGTGGTTTGTCTTGAATTCCCCAGCATCTAATTCATGCATAACAAAAGATGGCTTGAAGTCTTAAAGTTTGATGGAGCCCCATTTCAACCTTTCTTTGTTTCCCTTTTTTCTGACTCATCATCCTTACTGCTATCCTTACTATTAATTGAGATTTGGAATCCACATCTAATGGATACTGATGAATGGCATGAGATGCAGTTCTTAATTTGATTTCTTCAAATAGGTCATCCTATGGGTTGTTGGCTCTCTACACTTTCTGGTTGTACCCAGCTAGGGTAGCAACCCACT